CCCTTCCTCTGTCCGAAGAGGAAAGAAGAACCTGGAAGCACAAGTTTGAGTGGGCAGGTGGTCTTGCTGGGACATTCCTCATGGCAGCTGGGTTTTTAAGAATGCTGCCTCTGGCCCTGCTTTTACAATTCCCTAGAGGACACAAAGGGAACACCAACACGCATGCGCGGGCCCTTCCCTTTACCTCTGGCTTCGCGGGTCGCTTTTCTCGCGCATGCGTTCTCCTATCGGTCTGCTTCCGACAGCTTGCTGCTCCAGGCCGGAGTTGGTGCTGGACTGGGCTGCGACACCGGGTTGCGATGCTACCTTTCTCTTTGCTCTGGGCGGTTCCGGTAAGAATCGAGCTGGAGACTGGAAAGGAAGTCTCCCTCCTACCTTAGTTCCCATTCGCAAACTCTAGGGTTTTCTTGACTTTTCCACGCACGTGGTTTGGGCCGCACTTAACTAGGGAATCCCTGAGACCCCTGGGCTTGTGGGGTGAACTAGGGCTCTTACCCTACGAATTCTGATGATGAGATGCCTCACGGCCTACTGACTGCCCATTTCACGTGGCATCAGGCGAGAGGACCGCGCCAGATTCCCCGCGGACTCTGTGCTGGGGAACAAGTGGGGTTCTCAGCCTGGACCTGCAACTGAACCTTTCCAGCCAGCCCTGAGCCATGCCGATGATGCAACCGAGTCCCACAGCTTGCATCAGGCAGGGTCCTGCAGCAGTGTGGGCTGGAAGGAAGTGGACAAGGTGGGAGGGAAAAAGGACAGGATACGGATTCTGGGCTTCCTTCACACTGACACTATCCCCCCAACTGTCCCTCAGTTTCCTCACTTGTACAGCTATGGTAAAATAATGTGTTGTGGGGATTAAACAAGACTCCGAATAGGCTCTGGATGGATTGTCCTCCCCCTCCTCCTCTGACTCACAAACCTGTCTCCTCAGTGCCGTCTCCTCCTCCGCCTCTTGCTCTTCATGGATTCTGGGCTTCCTTCACACTGACACTATCCCCCCAACTGTCCCCTACTGTTAAAGGTCTTCCCTTCCACCTCTATTGGTCTGGAAACCACCTCTACCACCTGT